TAATCAATAAAAATTCATGTTCTTTAAACTTGAATATAAGTTACATAAACATGGACTTCCTAATCTTAATCAATATAACTTGTATAAAAATATCAAAGTTAGATTACCCAACAGAGGGAAGGTCAGTTTTGCTCCATCATACTATGCACTGATTCCTAAACTAGATGAACCATCTACAGTTGGCTGTGCAGTAAATGGAAGGACGGATTTTTTTTTTTTTTTCCCAAATACAAAGGCAAGCAGAACTTGAAACACTACATTAATAAACTAGAAAAGTTAACGATCCTATTATCAATTTGCAATTGGCCCCAGCAATCTAAGGGAGGTTGCTGAAGCAGGACGAAGTTGGTCATGGCATGGTGAGCCCCTTTAGCTAGGATATCGGCGCATTTGACAGCGGAGCGTGGGACGCGAATTAATATTGATGTCCCAATCTGAAAATATCAGATCTCTAATACTTGAGATCAGTGCATAAAGTGGGTGGTCCACCATGACCAGTAACTGGCTGGCTTATAGGCTTCAATTGAATCTATGCAAACCAGAACCTTGTTATACCCTTGTTGCTTACAGAGTTTCAGTCCTGTTAACAGACCCCATAGTTTCAGTCCTGTGTGAAGAATGTCTCGTGCACTTGATCTGCTTCCCTCCATCACTCCCCTGCATCTGTTCTTCCACAATAACCAGCAGAAGGTTGCAAACATTTTGCTCCATGGATTCTGATCATACCTTGTATATTGAAAGCTAGACCTGCATATTCAAAGCAAAGAAACGAGATCGATGATTAGGGTGAACTAAAGAAATCCATATCTCACGGGCTGTCACACAATCTCTCAGTATGTGCATAGTGTTTTCCTCACAACACTCAAAAGGGCAGTTTGCATCATCTGTGATGTATTCCTCTGTGAGCTCTGAGTAGATTAGTAGGGAGTCTCTCATGAGAGACCTGACATCAGAAAATTTTCAGTTTTTCCGGCACTGGAAGTCTCCACATCTCTTTCTACCCCATTCTGCCATCCCAATCCTGCTGTCCAGCAATCAAGTTATACGCTGCTTTCACACAAAACTTCCCATCATGAGAATTCCTCCAATAGAAAATATCTCTATCAGTACCATGCGGGGGCGGAACCTTCTCAATGATGTTACAGACCCACTCAGGCAGAAATCTTCTCCAATTAGATTTATTCCACAGCCCATTGGCCAGAAGAAAAGAATTTACCTTCGCATCTTGGATCAAGTCTTGAAGATGGCCTTGCACAAAATAAATAAGAGACTGATTAAAAGGGCTCCATGCATCCCACCAAAAGTGTGTTTGAGCGCCGCTTTTAATCATACGTCCCACTCCTTGATAGAAACGTTCCCATAAAAGGGCTATACTTCTCCAAACAGCAGAGGAATTTTGTTTCTTCGTCACAACAGTGTATGTGCCTTCTTCACATCCATATTTGTCTGACGCATTTAACCCATAGGGCTTCCGGTTTAATGAGGATACCCCAGCACATTTTCAGAATAAAAGCTCTATTCTGCCATTCTAAATCCTTTATGCCCAGTCCACCTATATTTTTTGGCTGTTTGATATCTTTCCACGAAATGAGATGGAGCTTTCGGCTTTCCAAGGACTGGTTACATAGGAACTGCCTGCTGAACTTTTCCACCTCCCTTAAATATGCTCTTAGGAAGGAGCATGGTTTGCATTTGATAGCATGGGACGGCAGATAACACTGATTTTATGGGTGTAGCTCGCCCTGCTATGGTTAGAAATTTTCCTTTCCAGGATGATAGTCGCGTCTTGACTTTCTGGACAATTGGCAAGAATATATCCTTCGTGGCTCTCTTGTGCAGCAGTGGAACTCCAAAATATTTCCCCAGATCCGTAGTGATACCTGTACCCATGTGGTGGCACAGCTCGGTGGCTCTTTGGAACCCCACATTCTTAGAAAAGAACGCTTTTGATTTCCCTGGATTTACTTTATGACCCGAAGCTGAACAGAATGGAAGAACAGATTTGATCACGAAGGAAAATGTTAACAATTGGTATCAGATGAGTCAAACATGTGAAAAATACTATTACATCCTATCTTTAATATAAGGATAGTTAACTCATTTAAAAAGATTAAAAAAAATTATCAAATTACTTAATTATAGTATATTTTATATGATTTTTTTAAAAAATACTTACTTAGATCATTAGATTATGAATTTATAAATGCGGCAAATTAGATTAAAAAATGATGAATATAAATAGTTTAAAGTAGTTTAGTAGTTTTTTTAATTAACTTCTTCAAATTAATTATTTGAGTCTTATATTAAGGATATGAGGCCGTGGTTATTATAATATCAGTCAAATTATTATTTGGATGGAGTCCTGAGAATCATATTGTAGTAGTAATTTTCATCTTCCGATGAATGCTGAAAATGATTGATTTAATTATCTTTTCTTTAGTTGCTGCATCCTGCATAGCATGCCCCAATTGTATAACTTTATTAGCAGGTTATTTCATAGAGTTTAGTTATATGACCAAACTAAGCTACACTGTATATGACCCATGTGAAGATATTTTTATACGTCTGGCATTTTTGTTGATGGGACCGTTTCATAGAGGTTGGAAGTTAACAATACTGTTAGTGATCAAACTCTAAACGGTCATAGTCCTTAGCGCATACGGCTTACTAATGGCTGGAATTGCTTGTTAAAAAGGAACTCGCAGAAGGAAAATACGGTGCGTATCATGACATGATGCTGCACGTGAACTCTTGCATGTTCCCCACGTGATCCCCTCTCTTCTATAATATCTTTATATTAGAGATAATTTTGTCTGACATTACATGTGAGCACTTCTCCAAGTGAGAATTCAAATCTTAGTTTATTATCTTGTAAGGAATTAAATCCTTTCATTAGACTTAACCCTGAGTGGTTATCACCTCTCTCTCTTGTCCTTGCATTTTGCTCGGTTTTTTTTTAATTGGATTAGGCTTAAGCCCTAAAATTGTGTTTAATAGTAAAAAACATCCCAATCAATTTTTAAAAAGCTGTTAAACTTTAGAACAGAATTAATGAAATTTAAAATTTTTTTCTGTAATTCCAGTAAAACATGTTTGAAGTAAATAGGAGAAAAAGAGTAATGTAAAGCATTATCTTGCACATGCGTGACAAAAGTAAAATAATTTTCACAATATAGAAATTAGCACTTTCATTTCCTTGGTTGCCTTCTTTAATTTTATACTTCAATTAATGAAGCTAAAGTTGGTGTCCAAACTCCAACCTAAACAAACCTTTTTGGTAGCCTCATTCTTTCTTTATATACATAGAAATGAGAGGTGTTGGTCATCTCCTATCTCACATGCATCACCAAACAAAAAGAATTCAAACATTGGTCATCTCCCGTATTTGTCTCTTTCCCATATTCTGACGAGTAAAATGGTTGAATCAAAATATTCACCAAGTAGTTGTTGGTTAGCTTCTTCATCTCTCTCTTCTTGTAAAACTCTTATGTCAATTGCTAATAAATAAATATATTTGCAATTTCATCGTTCTTAAATAAGTTATTTCATCCATCATATTTCTAGACCAAGAAAAAAAACATCAAACATAAATTAATAAGGTCTTAGATCATAACTTTCTCCAATCAATCAACTAACTCAAACTAAACTATCTGATGTATTAATAGCCAACAATGTGAATGAAGCAGCAGATAAGTTAGAGAGAGAGAGAAAGAGAGAGAAGAAAGATGGAGAGGGGGCCATCACCACTGGTGCCTTGTCTAATGGTGATGGGATTGATGATGATACTCTACTGGTCGACTTTGATGGACATGCTTGACACTGTTTTGACTGTCTTTTCATATTTCTTAGTGGTGCTTCTGGTGATTCTTCTGTTTCTTCTTATTCACTGTCTTTCTGTGTATTTCTCCATTGGCAAGTCTTCTTCTTTTTCTTCTTTCAGGAACCACCATACAAGAAGCGGTGTCTCTAGCCATGATTATGAAGGATCAGGGTTTGGACTTGGCTTTGGTTTTTTGCTTTTCTTTCTGCTTTTCCTTCTCTTGTATAATCTGCTTTGAACCTCTCTCTCTCTCTCTCTCATCCCTATATGTTACAACTTTTTTTTTTTAAAAAAAATGAGAGTAACATGTACTAATGACCTGAAATTGTAAATAACATCGAACCCAATAATTTTCATTTATAGGAAAGTATTATTAAACTACAAGATCACAGGTCAATATGTTACACTTGTAAAAAAGGGTCTAGATCCAGTTTAAATATTGTAAAGTGTTCTTCAAAATAAGAGAGATAGAGAAGAAAAATTGGAGTAAATAAAAATAGAGAAAGCATCCTCCAAATACACAGAGAGATGCTTTAATGATCCAAATTCGTTACATTTTTTTAATATAATTATTTGATTTATCAGCCAGCTTAGTTTTTAGCATTACTAGTAGGAAACGACAGATGAGTGGGGGATTAGTTAAGGTATATTTAGCATCACAAAATATTTTTTCAGGTACATCCAACACTCCAAAATATTTTATAGTGTATCTAGCGCGCCAAACTATTTTTTTGGTAAGTCCAAAGAACTATTTTTTAGGTACATCTAATATCTTAAAGTTCTTTTTTTTGTCTTGGTGCTGGATGTACAAAAAAAAATATTTTTAGGTACTTGACACATCTAAAAAAAATACTGAAGTGCTAAATGTAGTAAAAAATACTTTACGATGTTGAACGTACCTTAAAAAATACTTCTGAATACTGAATACACCATAATATTTTAAAGTGCTAGATGCACATTAACCCTTGCTCAAAAGTCGTCTCACTTGGCAAGGAAATTTATTCCTGGCTAAATTTCCAATTCACTTACAACAATGCACCGGTAAAATTTCCAATTAAATTTAATAATTTTCTCTCTAAAATAAAAAATTGCAAATTTGGGTCCCAGATTATTCCATATGATGACGCAATTAACCAACAACCCAAATTTCGAATTACAATTCATAGCCACACAAACATGGTAAGCCGTTGAATGTTCCATTAAATACAACAAAGAAAAAAGATTCCAAGTCATAGCACTTTATAGATACACGAGAAAGGGTACAAAGTATGAAAGAGAGTTATTTTTGACAATCATCTAGCTATCTATGTGAATTTGAGAAATAGCCTCAAATTTCAGCCGCTAGGCATTTTACTGAATTGAATTTCTGGCCTAAAAACCCAATGAAACAATTCAGCTATATAAGTAAACTAGAAACATTCTCCAATGGGGTTGCTTCAATAAATACCCATTACAATGCCTGAAATTATTGCCCACAACGAGACGTATAAGAGAAAAGGAAAAGTTGCAAAATCTGCGTGCTGTAGTTATCTATTTCATTCACCATCATAACAGAACGCCACATCGCTCCTTTTAGCTTTCAAGCCCCTCTTGTCAAAATTGGGTGGAAGCTCATGATTCAGATCCTCGAAGACTGAAGATTCTCGCTCCAGTTGCAATAACTGCTATTGAATCTACTGACTGATATTAAATGCCAGAGTAATGAAAGGCCCAGATACTTAAGATTCTGTTGAAGAAGACATGAAGCTCAAAAGGGCATATCTTAGAAGTCTAAAGTTCCACATTGTTTGCTGGCAATACTCTTTCCTCTATCACTTTCATTTCTATCCTCAGAACCATCAGCACTGACACGACCCTTTCCAATTCCAAGCTTCGGCAAACCACGATTAAGTCCCTCGAGAAGAACACAAGCTTTACACCATTTCTGCAAAGGTAATAGATGATGAAATCTATTTTAGAGGCTTTAGCATAAAAAACTTACGTAGTAAAATATGAATATGAATTCAACTAAATAAAGGAAAAGCTTAATGCCAATAATAAATGAAAGGGTACATGTAAAGTCAAATTGAGCAACAAAATACGATAAACATATTTAAATTTCAATAACATACTGAGGAGGGAGGCGTCAACAGATGAGGCAAAACAATCCAAGATGCCGTAACAATAGTATAAATTTTAATTGATAACCCTTGTTGTTGTTGTTGTAACCCTGCTCATCATGTCAATTGACTAATAGAACTTTTAGACACGTCGTGGAAGAAAATGATAGAACTTGAATTTTCTTCCGTAATTGAAGAAATGGGTATAATAGAAGAAACATAAAATGGAAAAAAACAATATATTCTAAGATCTTTGAAGTGCTACGACCTCCCACAAGTCTACCAAAGTTTATCCCAACTCCACAATCTCTCTTTGCCCTTTTTATTCCCATTTCCTGAGAAACTTATTCTACTTAATCCCTCTAACAGATTCCATGTCTTCCCCACCCTGTAACGATTGTTCTCCAAGTCTTACTGGCCAATTCATACTTTCCTTATTTTAATTATGGAGGATCTATCAGAAACCAAAACTTATATAAAGATTCACCATTCCATATCCTAAAGCAAATGTAACACCATTCCACATTCATTCAATGGGTGGATACAAAAAAATCTACCTGACTGGATATATAACCACACCGTTCACAAGTCCCTTGCTCTGGCATTTTCGTAGTAGTAGAAATCCTGAAATTCTCCCCTGATTTGATTATGTCAAGAATTGCTCTAGGTCTGCATTTCAAGATATGACTATGAATACATAAATGGAAAAGTTTCACGAGCATTGTACAAGATAAAAGAAAATAGGTATAGAGTAGTATCATAAAAACAAATCTCAAAGACCCACCTAATTCTTTCCAAATCCTTGATGAACTCACGAGCAAAACCACGATATGCATTTGGAGAATAGATGCCTGCCATTTTGAAGAGAATATGTTAGCCAGCAGAGTAAAACAGATATGCATGAAACTCGTTTATTGTGGAAAGAAAAGCATTACATTCTGTTGAAAAGTAGTCCAGCCTCTTGAAATATGCATACGTAGTCAAGTGGTCAAGGGTTTGCAACTATCAAGATCCAACTGATTACAGAAAAATATAACAGGAAAAATGACAAAAGAAAAAATCATTGACAACGTTCAGCAGCAAAGGATATATTACGATCTCCTTTTCATATGTGTATTTAAAAGGTTTACATCTGGGGATGGGCCCATCTTCACCAGTGGTTATTGAGGTGCATCTACTCAACCTATGCAAGATCAGAACGGCTAACATCAATATGTTTCCCAAACTGAAAAACTCTAATTTGTACCAAAAACGGATAACTAAAGTAAACTAGTGTTTTAGAAAATAACCTAGCAATATCTCCCCGTAATATGTTCAGGAGAACTGTCTCTGCAATATCATCAGCATTATGGCCAGTAACAAGCTTATCAACTTTCAATAGCGCAGCTCCTCGATCAAGGGCCTGTTGACAAGATATCATAAATAGTTGAAATAACCTGGGTGACGCAACTGTATTATTCACAACATAATCTGAAAATACATGTAGGCAGGTCCATCTATTTATAGGCAACAATCCTAACAGCCATTTTCTAATATTCCCCTCACTTAACTAACTTCTTGCTCTATCACATTGTCACGTATATTTGATAGGTCCTCCACCAGTTTCCATCTATAATTCAAGATACTTTCTATATGGAGATAAATGGTCAATTTGAAATCTATCAGTGCTTACTAATGGTTGTTAATAGGTCACTTAATATTAAAGGAATTTGTAGAAATACCTGGCGACGGAAGACTCCACAGAAGGTGCAATTGTTCTTTAAACCAATGACCTTCACTATTTCATCCATTGTCCATCCATACAAGTCCTTGTAAGATATGATTTTTAAAGGCAACCCATACTGGAAAGGGGGAAAGGGTACCACCAGAGTTGAGTTATCAGGTCAGTACAGCCACAGAAAGAATTCATCACAGTTAAGTGGAAGTTAAATAATGTAAGGAGCCATTAAGAGAAATATGTTGACTTTAGTTAGAAAAACATGCATTTGAATCTCTAGGCCTAAATGCATGCTCATGCATATGTGTAGTTTAATTGACTTTAAAATACAGTTGGCTGTATGAAGCATGAACAAAAACTATTGTGCAACATATGATATGGCAACGTAGCTTAACTTGTGGAACAAAAAATGGCAACCACTACAAAGAAAAACTTAATGTAAACTGTCAAAAGTAAAAATCTCTTTTACCTGAACTTCGTTTCTTTTAACAGTTTCAAGCGAGTCATCCCGGTAACCAGTGATACCCTCATCAACTGACAGGAGGAAAAGGTCAAGGCCATAATTGTGTTTCTTATTTAGTTTTGACAATACATAAGCCAGGACTGTTGAATCTGTTAAAAAAATAATAAATATTGTAATAAGCAATAAGAGAATATTAGCCATCTAAAGACAAGTAAAAAGAAAACCATAAATTCATAATATATAAGATGAATTAAACAGTTTTGAATGAAAGAACAATGAGAGGAAAAAACAAAAAAGAAAATTTGAGAATTCATATATGGCGCAGACATAGACTACAGAATTTCATCACTTTGGGTTAAAACAACAAACCCAAAATATAAGTAAATAACTTCAACTAAAAACAGCCAAACAATGAAGCAATCAGCAGCAAAAGGGTGGGTGCAAATAATATGTTCTTCAACTGATTCCTTCATTCTTATGAACAGAGGACCGGAAAAAAAAAAGAAAAAGAAAAAGAAAAAGGCTAAACATATTAAGGTGAATAGCAGCACATATGCAGATATAGCACATAAAGATTGGAAAAAGTAAATAATAATAGTAATATATTATTATTATTTTTCAAAGTGAAGGAAAGCTATATACACCAAGGCAATGCTTGGCATGCGGAAGTGTATTTTAGGTACCAAACATTGCACAAGTGAATTCCTTTATCTACAATAAACCAGCGTTGGCGAAGATAAGAGTTTTCTATCATACTTCGAGAAGCAAAAGCCAAAATATCATGAAGTGACAATGAAAATAAATATTCAATCCTGTAAGTTTGATCCATGCAAAATGTTAAAAATCAGTTTTGAATAGACATTTACCCTTTCCACCAGAAGCACCAAGAGCAACACGTTCGCCTGGCTTGAATAACTGGTTAGTCACAATAACCTGATGAATCTCGTCCTCAAAAACATCATAAAAACACTCCCTGCAAATCTTTTAAGGTTCACAAAATCAGAACAAGTGTGTCAGTAATCTAATTCCAGAAGACCAGATAGCCGCAGCAATCCCCAGAATAAACTGATGAGATCTAGGTGTTCTTTGGTAAACATAGAAAGACTACCACAAGAAGTGAGATAACAGAATGGGTTAAACAACACACAGCCCTTTCTGAAGAATGAATCAGAGTTTACAACGATTAAAAAGTAGATAAAATAACAAAATTTATATCTTCTCGAAACAATATAATAAGAGCATGCAATTGCGCAATTACAAAACAGAAACAAGCTAGAAATCACTCAAATTTTCCACTAAAACCAAACAAAAATAGTTCGAAGACAAGGTTTATGGGATTAATTTGGCACTGTCCCCGGTTAGGATACAAAAAGTAATGAACTCGCACAAGTTGGAAATAACGGCAATCAAATCATGCAAGCACAAAACTTCAAAAGAGAAAAGAGGAAGAAATCAATCAAGTCTTCCAATGAACAAAACAACGGTGGTTTCAAAACAGGTTTGTGGGGTAAATTAGGGACCTGTTCAAGAGTCTTGGGTCTTTTGAGGGCAGCTCTTCTTTGGTTACATACGCAGCACAAACGAGTACCGCTTCTTTTTGGCTTCGCTCCTGTTTCGTCCATTCTACGGAATTGTAAACTGGGAAGCTCACAACTCAACAAGGTACAAACAAGACAACCTTCTTCCTCCGTTCAATCACATATTGGCATCGGATTTCGGCGGCGGGAACATGTAAAGGAGGCGGGTTAGCATGCCGCTTTTTGTAAATTGCAATACTGGGGCCTTAGTGTGGTCCTTTTGTTCCGATTACCTCATTTTTTAAAATTACTTTTATTTTTAAAATAATTTTTTATTCAAATTATGTTCATAGAAATAGGGATGAAAATATGACTCAATTTTTTTATTCTAGTTTTAAAATGATTGAGTGCCAAATGTTAATTTGATTAAAAATTATAAAATATACATAACAAAAGTACAAAATTATAATAATATTTATACGATAAAAAGCCTAAAATAATTAACAGCATAAGAAACCCGATAAGCTTTTCTGCCTTAAGAAAATGAAATAATTGAACTTTATTTCTTAAGGTGAATATTTATATTTGGCTCTTATTCTTGCCAGGCATATATTGATTGCTAAAAGCTCTATCTTTCATTATTTAACGGAAAATTTTCTGTTCTACTCCTTTGGTCCAATTTATAGGGAAGATAGAGAAAAAAATTTTTAATCCTATTTATAAGATACTAAGAGAAATTTTTTGTATGGATATACAATTTTATCCTTCATTTATTATAGTGTTAACTTTGTTTACATGAAATATAATGTATATTAAATGGAAATAAAATTAGAAAGTTGTTAAATTTTAAATGAGAGTTAATAAAGTTTAAGGTTTTTATTGGTTTATATGAAATATACTGAAAGTGACTTATAAATAGGACCAGAGGAATAACTTCTGAGTATAAAAGTCAATTAAGAAGTTTGCTTTAATTTTAAATGTAAGACCTGAATTTATTTAGTCTCTCAAATTCATAATTTTTTTAATAAATTATTCCTATTGATAGTATAATACACATATTAAAGAAGTGCATTTTACGGGAATGATTTCCATTGTAAATAATTATAAAGATATATTATACGAACTAACACATATTATTTCATAAATAAATAGTTTAACTAATTCTTTAATCTTATTAGTAATCTAACTTTTATATTTAGAATTGAAAGATTATTTTATTTTATTTTTGCAAAAAGGAAAAACATCATATAATTTTCATGTTTCAAAAAGATCACATCTTTTTCACTGGGGGCATTACAAATAAGTTTTCCCCCTAAATAATTCATTCCTTAAATTATCTATAAAAACCCATTGTTGTTTTATCCTTCAATGCACATATCTTTTTGGTAAAAGTTTTGTCCAGAGCAATCTATACTTGTTTCTGCCATAGTCTCAGGCTCAGAAAATCAATGGAGTCTCTAAGAAAGCATGCTGCTTGAAGAAGCTATGGTTTTAAATCCAAAACTACTCATAAAAGGAGAATAGGATTTGCTTACAAATTTATTGCCACAAAATCTGCAGAAGAAATAAAAGAACGTTATAATAACCAAGAGAAATATGCAAATAACAGTGAATATTTTGAACGTAAAGGACATCAATACACTGAAGAAGAACTTGAAGAAGATATTAAGAGGGTTTTAGATGGATCTATCCAACTTACTCCATCAATCCATACGTAAAGAAGAAGGTCCAGAGGAAGCTTTAAGAGAGCAAGGATATGAACTCAAAAATCGTCATAGTTCAATGAATTAATATAATAGAAAAGTGGAACATATATATTAGTTAATAAATATTTGGGAGGTTTATCACTTAGGAGTTGGGAAGAGTGCAGTTATAAGAGTTATATGTATGAAATGAGTAGGCAAAAAAATGTATGAAATGAAACTTTTAAAAAAATTAATTATTATCTTTAGTTTCAGAATATTATTATTAGTTGATAAAGATTAGAAAAACTTATCATTTAATTATTAGTTGATAAAGATTAGAAAAACTTATCATTTGGGCTTAGAAGAGAAGATTGCAGGAGTTATATGCATGGAAATTAGTTGGCTTAATCATTGTCTTTATTTTTCTATGCCGTAGTACAAAGTATTTATTATTGGCAATTGGCTAATTATCTTAATTTTTTTTTAATTCTAACCTTATATAATTAATTAGAAGCCACCCTTGTAATATTTTCAAGAGTTTCTCGCACGACAAAAAATTATCGGGATAGGTGCAATGATTTTATTGTGCATGATAATCTATTTAAATTATATATGTAATTTTTAATACACACATAATGATTACCATAAGTGGTTCGTAGAAGTTTTGTTACTTTCTTCTCAATTTATATTTCAAGGACAAAAAATGACTTTGCAGCTTTTTTCCGGTGATAAAGAAATAAAGTTTTGGTCTAAAAAGTTGAAAGCGCAATTTGTGATGGAAAATAATGGAAAACGAGTATCATTTTTTTTATTTCCATGACAAACTAAGGGGAAATTGTGATCCTTGACAATATCTAATTTCACTTTTTTGGTGGAAAAATTTGGCAGTGAAGAAAAGAAGAACACGTTTTTTTTTTTAATGTTTTTTCCCCTTAATTATAGGCAAAAGTTTTTATTAAGGAAACCATCGACCCAAAGATGAAATAATCAAATTTCCTCTGAAAAACTATAATTTCTTAATGGAAGAAAGATATAATCTCTCTCGTTAAAAAGGAAGAACTATAGTTTTTTCTAGACACCATATCGTTTGCATTCATTATAAGGCGTTTCTTTTCAATTATTCATCCCTCAAATTTCTTTATAAAAGCCACTGTTTCCTTTTCTACACCTTCTTTCCACCAAAGATTTTGTCTAAAATTAAATATTACTTTATCCATTAAGTGTTATTTGTAATTGAAATCATGGATGATGAATATTATTGCTTGATTTCAATAACATCCTCATAGAATCTATACATGGAATTAGGACAGCAATATCCATAAAAGAAAAATGGTAAATTTTTATAACAAACTATTCATAAGATATAAACAGTGTGGGGCTTATTAGTTGTTTCTCAGACTCCATCTATCTAATAAATAGGAAACACATCAATTTCACCAAACACAGAATATTCAACATGACGTGCTGTATAGCTCATTCTTTGGCAAGAAACAAGAATTACAATCGCATGCATAATAGCAACATAGTGCTATTGGCCTAGGAGAGAGAGTGTACAAAAAAATACAGTTAAAATAATGAAGCCAATAAGAAAGAACCACAAAGGGTAGGGGGAAAAATGAGTTAATTCTTGGGAATGTTCTTGCCCACAATCTTGGCAGGAGCAATCCTCATGAGATTTCCAGGCTTACCAGGAAGAGCACCTTTGATCAAGACAACATTAAGATCTTTATCAATCTTAACAATCTTAAGCTTTCTGATCTTGGTTTTTGTTCCTCCCATCCTACCAGGCATCTTCTTCCCCTTGTACACACGCCCGGGAGTAGTTCCGGCACCGATTGATCCTAACTGTCTGTGACTCTTTGAACCATGGGTCATCAGACCCCTTTTGAAGTTGTGACGCTTGATACCACCTGTCATAATAGTTCAGGCATTATGTAACACAATTTATCTATGGCGAATTGTTGCAGGCCACAGTCAAGGTAAACTCATATCACCCACTTTAGCTGCTTGGCGTTGAATCTTAATATTAGGAGAAGGAAATAAACACAAGATTAGAATTAAAGGTTTGTTTGGCACACATAAAGACTATACTACTAAATGATTCATCACTAAAACTAGCTTAGAAACAATTCTTCATTATGGCTTAGAACCAGTAGTTCTATGTAAAGATGCAAGAGTCACTTCCATCACATTCTCATTCCTTTTCCTTTCTTTCCTAGAGATTCTGCGTACCAAACATATCTACGGAACAGAATATATACACTAAAAGCTGAGGTACAAAGCAGCACACACATTAGACATCAATTAACAAAAACAACTAAGACTATATTCAAATAACAGCCCCTTATCTATGCTAATGATGATACTCAAAAGCAGCTAATTACATATGTTCGTTACATAAATACGACATTCCACCCCAAAAAAAAGAAAGGAAGAAAAAGAATTCCTTGAATGAATAGCCTCACATGCCGCATTTCATCCATTTTTGTCACTCTACCTGGGAAATTCGTAAAGGCATATACAGTTAATGTTCAGACTTTAGAGGTCAGAGTATATCCATAAACAATCATCCAAAAGCACATTCATAGTCCAAAATTATATAACCTACAATTTCAACCCCATACTCCCCGGGCGTTCTCCCTTTTCAAAAGTACTGGCCAATTGATATAATTATCAGGACAAAAGTTCTCTAATTCTAGCATCTAAGGAGCTCGTACTTAGTAAGCATAAAATGGAACGCTTGATTAGCTGAAAACACTTATCAAAATCCTGAGATTAACATACTTTATTCCTTTCTCCATTATAAAATGAAGGCAATATAATAGTACGCTGAAATCACTGAACTGCCAAATACAATATCATCCTGAAATTATTCCCAGCGCAACACAGCAAATGGGAGAGAGAGAATCAAAACCTTGGAACCCCTTGCCAATGGTGATGCCAGAGACATCAACAAGATCACCCTCCTTGAAAATTTCATCCAACACAAGTCGCTGATTAGGCTCGAACCCTTCCACAGACTGAAGACGAAATTCCTGAAGATGCCTCATGGGTATAGCACCCACCTTCTCAAGATGACCCATCTCTGGTTTAGTCAGTTTTCGATCCCTTACCCTTTCATATCCCAATTGGACCGCACTGTAGCCATCAGTAGCCTCAGTCTTAATCTGAATCACAATATTCCCTTCTTTAAAACCCACCACAGTCACTGGAACGACCTCGCCGCTGGGTTCGAAATAACTCATCATCCCCAATTTTGTGCCCATTACTCCTACGCCAGCCTCCACGCTCATAACCGCCACGCCTCTCACTGGCCTTTTGCGTCCTTTAGTCGCTGCATAAAGTTTTGAATGGAGCGGTTCTTGCAATTTCAGCAATGGGTTCCTCATTTGGCGAGGCGAAATTTTGAGCGAGCATGTTAAGCACGAAGTAGAAGCTGCATTGTGGCGAGAAAATAAAGGAGAAACCGATGAAGAAATTGATAAGGTTGACATTATTGGTTGTATCAGTGGAATATTGAAACCTAAAGATAAACCATCGATTTTTTCGCGCTCTGTAGAG